CCCCCCCCCCCCCCCCCCCCCCCCCAAGACGCTGGATGGTGGACCAGAATCGCCTCGAAGCTGTGCTGAAGTCTTTTTCCATGACCTCTCCGAACTCCTCCCATCTGCTTGGACTGCCGATACCTATCGGCTGCTTCTGGAGTTTCACAGGCCAAAAAGACCCGGTAGGACTCCTTCAGCCTGACAGCATCCCTCACCCCCAGTGTCCACCAGCGGGTTTGAGGGTTGCCGCCACAACTGGCACCGACAACCTTACAGCCACAGCTCAGGTAAGCCGCCTCGACAATGGAGGCATGGAACATGGTCCACTCAGAGTCAATGTCCCCCACCTCCCCCGGAACGTGTTTGAAGTTCTCCCGGAGGTGTGAGTTTAAGCTCCGTCTGACAGGAGACTCTGCCAGACGTTCCCAGCAGATCCTCTGCCAGGCATCCTCCCCCACCACCGGAGCCAACTCACCACCAGGTAGTGGTCAGTTGACAGCTCTGTCCCCTCTCTTCACCTAAGTGTCCAAAACATGCGGCCGCAGATCAGATGAAACGACAACAAAGTCGATCGTCGAACCGCGGCCTAGGGTGTCCTGGTTCCAAGAGCACATACGGACACCCTTATGTTTGAATATGGTGTTTGTTATGGACAATCCATGATGAGCACAGAAGTCCAAAAACAAAACACCGCTCGGGTTTGGGGGTACCGTGCCTCCAAACCACTGATACATAAGTCTGATCCAGATACGTAAGTGAAAAGCCTGAATGTGAGACAATTCCAACTGTCTCTGTAAGTCCCTTTAGAGCCAGTTTCTGCTTTGTAAAACTGGTCCAGACCAGTCCACGAAATAGGAAATAGTGGTCAGTTGGAGTTTGACAAAAAACATGAAAGCATGAATGTCTTTAAGATTTTTTCTAAACTTTGGCTACTGCTATTTATTTGTGGACTGAAAACTGATGACAAACTGGTCTTATGGAGACATTTATTGAAATGTGACTTTTTGTTTATTGTGTGTGTGCCTGAAGAAGTTCAAAAAAAGAGTCGAATAAAAAAACTGGATGAAAGGTCAACTTTGTTTAATGGAATTAACCAACTAACCAATTAACAATTTTTAACTTCCATTAAGAAGGAAGGTCTGCCTGAATGATGTCAAAAACAAGCTGCAAGAATTTATGTAACAAAAAAATACAACAATTGTCTTGTTGAAAAATGCTTTTTAATTTATGTTACCATTCTAGATGTTTTGACTGGCAGTACCACAGACACTAATAGACACCCATACCATCAAAAACCCAGGTTTTAACCAGTATTTGTGAATGGCAAAGTGAACTGTGTTTTAAGACAATGAATTGTGGAAATGTTTCAGAGCAGTGTAGTGTCTGCATTTATGAAGAGAGACCTCTACTGGAGAGACTAAACAACCTCTCCGCAGACTCATGGAGAGGAAACAGGAGAGCAGCACTTCAAGACTCCACTGTTCACCTACAGCTCAGGGATAAGGGACTCTGCTGATGACCCAAATGCTCATGTTTTAGGCAATAGACAGATTGTTTGAAAAGGAGCTGAAGGAGGTCGTTGATGTAAATAAATAATTACTAAACAGATTTCAATTTTCTAAAACCTAGAATGCAGCATTGAGTCTGATACCAAGTCAGTTTCACTTTAATTCTCTCTTTCATGAATGTGACCAAAAAATCTTTCTGTGAGTCCAATACGCTGATGATGACCCCCAGGAGGGAGTGGAGTGAGAATAATCTGCATTTGAATAAACAGAGCATAAACAGAGCATCTCCTGCAGAACTCCACAGGATGGGAAGAGAAGCTCTTTTAACTAATTCCAATATTCGTTTGAAATATTTTATGGCTTTTAACATGTGAAGACTAAGAATCTACACCAGAATGAGACAATTTTCACTGTGTTCACTCCGGCTAGAACTCCACAATCATTATAGTCAATGAGAGACTACATCTTGTCAAAATCCTAGCTACTGTATATTATGACTATATATATTGGTATATTTATATATACATACTGTCAAAATTTATCATTCTGTTTAGATGGCAAAATGCAGCATATGTATACACAGGAAACATGAAATTTATTTTGAAATATGGATTGAAAAATAGTCCACACCTGTGCAATTATTTCCAGTTCATTTTCCACAGAAGAATGAATTAATTTAGTCTCAATTCCACATTTATCACTGTCTTTATTGCACAATCTCACATTTCCTGCACGTTTTTCAAATCATCTCTGTGGTCTGCAGCGGAGCCGCAGGCAGTGGAAATCTGTGTGGAAATGAATGACATGTGCAGTGTAAATTTGTGGCTAGATTCTACCCAATATTTCATTCAGAAATTATTCTGATGTTTTTAAGCACACATTTTTGCAGACACTCCCCAGTTTTTTTCTGAGATTCATCCTCTATTTGCTCTTTTTACACCCAGTCCTCTTACTGACCTGTCTAATGAACCTAATTACCGGTAGTTGCAAAATGCTCCTCCAGCTGTTTTTTAAATTATTATTATTTTGAAACCTTTTATTTCCCGTCCAAAAGTTTTTGGAAAATGTTGCTACAATCAAATTCAGATCTACCTTCCCCCCTACCCCTGCCTCAAAAATAGTACAATAACTTAGCATAAACATTTGACCTTTTTCCTGTTCCTTTGGAAATAAAATATGATTTAAAAGGAAGAAAAAAAAAAGAATAGGTCCTCTGGACGGGTTCTTCTTTAATGAAACGTTTTGTCTCTCTTCCAAGAGACTTCTTCAGTCTGAGAGTTTCAGGCAAAATTCAGGCTTTTGAGTCCTGCCTCCAGGTGACTGATACTCACATCACATGGCTACAGTATTGTTGACACCTAATTAACACCTATTGTTAACAGGGGGTGGAGTGATACTGGCAATGGCAGCGCTGTAGGAGGGGGACAGCTGAAAATGGAGGCCCCCACCTCTGTTTAATGATGGACGGTCTTTCTTTACAAAAATGGCTTCTTTTACTCCTCTCTCAAACCAACGTTCCTCCCTATCAAGAATATACTCAAGTTTTGAATTAAAAAAGCCTCTTCAACATCTTTAGTCCCCCTAATTTTGATGGTCACAATGGAAAAGGGATGTGGTCACAAAGTTGTCCCTGGGGGGCAGTGAGACATATTTTTTTCTGTTAACATGCTTTATTTGAAAGAAGGGACCCTAGGGTACATGAAAAAAACCAGAGAAGTTTAGTAGTGGGGCGTGGATGGTGATCCACCCTAATCTACAGGTTAAAAAGAGGAAAATTTTCATCTTCTGTTGGGGTTGTGACCTTTTGGCCCATTGGTGACATCATCTAGCACATATTTGCTTAATGAAATGTCATGTAAATCGAAAAACTAATCAATATGAATCTGCTGATACCTTGTTTTTAAACGTTGGTTGGTTTATAGCAAAGTTACTGACATTTAAGTTTTCTGTAACCCTAATTTTGATGGTCACAATAGAAAAAGGGTGTGGCCAAAAAGGGGTCCTTGTGGGGCAGTGAGACCCAACTTTTTTCTGTTAACATGCATTTTCTGAAAGAGTGGACCCTAAGGTACATGAAAATACCAGAGTTCAGTAGTGGGGTGGGGGTGCACGGTGAGCCACCCTAGCCCATGGATCATATTTATTTATATTGTTTGCTTGCATCTCACAACACAAGTTGAGTGTGTGGTTCTGTCTCATTTACAGGAAGTGGAGCGGCATAGTAACTTGTAGCCTGTAGCTTTGTAAAATATGAACTAGCAGGCAGCTGTGACATGCATTGGCCATGGCATTCAGAGAATTTGTTGCCTGATCTCAGTCCGATGGGATCTTGTTTCATTTCCCCAACAGGAGCACAGGACGAAAGTTCACTCTGACCCAAACTAGTCACACGAGAGCAGCTTGTCCTTTCAGAGCTTCTCTGCCAGTAAACGTCTTCAGCATCAGAGGACAGTCCTGCTGCTAAGCCTCAATTTTTACATGTGAGACACATTTGGTCTCTTTCTGTGTTTCATGCCATGTCTGCGATTTATCCTTGTATAAAAATAGAGAGGGGGAGGGGTAGGAAGGACACTTGGACCTGTCAGTTTGTCAGTCACCCACTCTGTTTTCCAGTTTCCACTTTCCTTCACATCAAAAGACAAAACTGCAAACAATTTTATACTTCCTAAACAAATGACACCTGCTTCTGCTTTAGAAACCTCTCATTGGACACTTTCAGAGGCAAAGATTGCTGTCTCTACTGTTAACAAAATAAAGTATTCAACTGGGTATTTAAATTATGTTTTAATTGCTGTCATTAACTTTTTTTTTTTTACAAAGTAATACCAAATTAAAACAATATGCAATGTAAAATAAGTGACTGCACAAATATTCAGCCTTTTTATAGTGACTGTCCTTCTCAGAGAAAATATTTTTGAAAGTCCAAAATTGGGATGGATACAAAATATTTCCAATCCCCTGGAGGTATTTTAAGTGTAACTAGACTCCTTACCAGGTTTAAAGAACAAAGAGAAAACATAACAAACAAAAAATGGGCTTAAGTTATAGAGTTAAAGATGTTGAAGAGGCTTTTTTAATTCAAAACTTGCGTGTGGAGTTCTAAGCTTTTTAATGTTATGAGAAGCTCAGTTATTTAACCTAAATTCACATGACTACTCACCTCTCACAATGAAGTGCTGTCAGGGTATTTGATTTTCCAGTGCTCAGAGTGATATTTTGGTCACATGTATAAAGATACACTATATTGCCAAAAGTATTTGTTCACCTGCCTTGACTCACATATGAGCTTAAGTGACATCCCATTCCTAATCCATAGGGTTCAATATGATGTTGGTCCACCCTTTGCAGATAGAACAGCTTCAACTCTTCTGTGAAGGCCATCCACATGGTTTAGGAGTGTTTATGGGCATTTTGACCATTCTTCCAGAAACACATTTGTGAGGTCACATGTTGGACAGAAGGCCTGGTTCTCAGTCTCTGCTCTAATTCATCCAAAGGTGTTCTATCAGGTTGAGGTCAGGACTCTGTGCAGGCCAGCCAAGTTCTTCCACACCAGACTCTGCCACCCATGTCTTTATGGACCTTGCTTTGCGCACTGGTGCACAGTCATTTGGATGGGTGGGCAAAAACATTTGGCAATATAGTGTACTTTTGTATGCCAAGAGGGAGCAAAATATTTTGCCTGTGCCATAAGGGGATGGATGACATGATGCTGAGAACAAAATAGTGCATGCAGCTACACTATTTTGAAAGGTTTTCAGGATGCTCCATTCATTTTTAAATAAATACAAAAGATACAAAAAATACAAAAGAAAGAATGATCACTGTTAGTGTGAATGCTTTAGAAGTCCTGTCTATCATGTGTCCTGTCTAATACAGTATGTATGTGTCCAAAGAGATCATGTTATACTCCGCAACATGACAAAAGACAACATGCACATCCTGGGAATAACATGTATTACCCTAAGATAGGGCTGAAGGGTATATGCGGTAGACGGTAGAAATGGTATGAAGTTGGCCTACGGTAGATATTTACCCTCTACCATCCTATTGTCATTACGTCATTGCACCCGTGTCAGCATGGCTGCGAGTGCAGAGACAACTGAGCAGGAGTTCGAAATATAATGAAGAAATTATAGCATTTTAAAACACACATAGAGAGAATAAATTCTCAAAATTTCCCTCTCCCGCTGTAGAAAATTTATGTTGTGTCGCGGGATCATAATCTCTCCCTCCCTCTGCACATCGCACAGAGGGAAGCTTTAACAACCGTAGTTTTTCACACCCAATTGTCGGAGAAAAAAAAATTGTTTCTTATATATTTGTTACCCACAGAGATGATAAAAAGACGTGGATGTTCATTCAGTCATAAATCCATATTGCTAATGTAAAGTCGGCTTCTGCTCTGATGATGAAGATGATGAATATGAGAGCGCAGCAGAGCAGCTGCTAATAAATTCAGCAGGCAGAAGAACAGGCTCATTGTTTGGCAGGCAGATATTAAAGCAAAATGCTGGGTTTGATTAAGATTACAGTTTTCTGCAAAAATTGCACTAAAAATTACATTATCTTTACTTTCTATGAAAAATTTTCCACCACGATGTATACCATTACCGTGAAGGGATTCAATTTATATCGTGAAATGAATTTGAGGTCATACCACCCAGCCCTACCCGTAAATGTTATTTTTAAATAATTTAGATCACTCCTAAATCAGATAACAATCCAGGACAGTGTTCACGACTTGGATTAAGGTTTCTAAAGCCTAAGTACAAGCTTCAGATCTGAAGAATCTCTCACGAACAGAGGAAGACTTACCGTGATATAAAGAGATAAGCCATAATAATAAGACCTGGGCCTTAGTAAAATACATCTCTCTTCCAGGAGCAGCCTTTAAATCCACAGAATCCTGTAAATAATGAGCAGCTTTAGCAGAAAACAGGTCTGAGTGTGACCTGTGTACAGGGTGGAGACAGAAACAAGCTGGAGCAGCTGGTTCAGAGGCGGGTGTGATGGTGGGCGGTGGATGACAAAATCTGAACTCAGAGGTCTTGTGTTTCACCCCCCCCCATGCACACACACACACACACACACACACACACACACACACAC